GCAGAGCCAAGGCCCTTGGAGTTCTGTTTCCGGATAGGGATCGCATTGCCTCGCTAGCGCCAAGCAGTCTACTGGACTTAATTAATGGGCTGGGGCTAAGCGAGTCAATGTGAGTAAGGAGAGGGCACAATAGACCAAAGGTCGCAGTGCATTCCTCATCATCATTCATTCATTCANTTTTTCGTGGAAAAGTAATTGTATTATTGTTTCACGTTTTATAAATAAATAAATAAATAATAAATAATATTTTCTTTGATTTTCTTTACATTTTTTTTCCAAAAATAAGAATTTATTAGTTTGTTCGATGTTTTTTGGCACTACATGATGAGAAAAATGTTTTTCGGTTGATTTTGCAAATAAACGCACTACAAATGGAGCATTTTACATCAGACTTAGACTTGCAGCAACCACAAATTCCTCGCTTTCGAGCTCCTCAACTAGAATCATTTTTAGAGCAGGCCACTGGTGCTGTGGAAGGTGTTCGTATTTCTCTCAATAACTGCGCTGAAAATTGTTGTTGAAATTACCTCAAGTGCGTTTCATCWTATGTGGCTCAGCCAAAGAAAGTGCAAGTTGCCGCAAAAAATTTGGCCTCCTCCGATTCCGGTCATGTCCATGAAACATCGATTTCGGAAAAAATTAGGTACGMATTCAAAGCGGATATATCTAATATATTTGCAAATACAATGTTTGACCATCGATTTGTTTTGCGTTTCGTCGTGYAGGAGCCAATCATTTGATCAGCAGTATCAACACCACCTAAAGATATTAAACATAAAAAATTATTGGCAGGCAAAAAACTATTTGCAGTAAACCTTTTGTTGAATTGTAATAAGAAACAATCTCTGGTTTTTTCTTCGGCCCACTCTCATCAACATTATCTTTCTTGTGCATTGTAGTAATCAATATAGTTGCTTTGTTTTTGTGACTGATGTATTATACTAATGTCGCAATGTCATTGAATGCCAATGTAGATTTGTACGATGGAAGATTCTTCACAGTCAGCAATTTCGGAGGAATGAAAGTTTTATTTTTGCGAACCGTTCCCACATATGTAAGTTTCCTCTCATGAAGTTTTTTTACCAACTCAAATGTGGAAAAGAAATTGTCAGCTGATCTATTTTGCCCTTTCAAACCTTCTGTCAAGTCCAATGCAACGCGTTCTCCTTGGTTCTTTTCGGGCTTAGCATTTCTAGGTTTACCAAAGTATGTATTTTCCATACGTAGCCGGACTGTGAGTCCACGGATAACCAAAACTTCAAACCATATTTTGCTGCTTTTGATGGCATAAACTGTCAAAAAGAACATCGCTCCCTGAATGCAACAAGTTGCTCATCAACCGTGACATTTTCATGGCAGTTGTAGAACATTGGAAGAAGTTGTTGCCAACGGTCCCACAAGTCACGAATAGGAGCAAATTTATCGCTACTACGCGTTTGTTGTCGMCTCAAAACATCATCGAAACGAAACGCACTAGTAATCTTGTGGAATTGATTTTCAGACATAATTGATCGGAAAATTGGGCGACCAAATTTTGAATTAAATAAACCATGAACATCTTCATTTTTACCGCTGTCATTGAGTAAGTTTATTATAGTAAAATATTTTCCTGAAATAAGAAAAACAAGAACATACTCACCGACATACGCCTGCAAGAATAAGCACAGCTATATATGCGCGCAATATGTCATCATCAACATCGCCCCATTTCTCATCGAACTTGACTCTGCCGTACTTATTAGTATTTTCTATTGGAGGCGAAAAAAACAACAAAAAAACTGTCATGGCATCTGGACACTTCAAATCGAGTTGGTCCTGGTTGTGTTGAGATAATATTCTCAACCGCAGATCCAATATGCTGARGTAATGGTGTGGCATTCCATACCATCTTGTTTTTAGCAATAAATAAGGAATCAACAGAGCCACTTGGAGTTAAGAGGGGTTCCGGTTCACTATCTGTTTCAGACTAATTYTTTCATAATTCTCCGAATTATAATCAATATCGYAATCTGAGATATCCGATTCACTTTCTGTATAGAGCACTTCTCGTATCTCACGTGCGCCATTTCATAAGTAAACACGTCCGAACTCTCGAAMTCAACACACAAACTGAACAAATTCGCATAAACATTCGTAATTCTCTACCACAAAAAGCCAAAAGGGGAATCCCGCAATTATTTTTTGCACTAGCTATGTTGACTAAAGAAAAATGCAAAACGGGGCAACTCCTCGCCTAGTTTTTATTTTACCAGAGTTGAGTAAATAATAAATAATAATATTTAGCAAGTATTGAATCAAACTAAATATAAAGACTAAGATTAAATTGTTATTTTRTATGAAAACTGCAGTATGGACCAAATGGTCCTCTAACCTAAGATTCGTAAGTTTTTTTTAACCTAACAGCAGGGTTAAAGGACCTCCACAGAAGGTACCGGTGGAAAACACCAGAAAAGCGCCTCAGCTTGCAGATTGTGTCTTGATCAATGGCGACTGTCTCCCCCTACCGAATGGCYGCCTTTTCAGAAGCTTTACTACAGCTTGGACGGTCATATTCGCGTAGTCTATCTCCGCACGCAAACTGGAACACTAACCAGGCCGGTCGTTAAACTATACTTTTTGCCAACAGCCGAAAAAACCGATATATAAACCCTAAACAATAAACCGATAATAAAACCGCCAAATATACCACAAACAATAATTTATTAAAACCAAAAATAACATAAAAGGGTCGATCCACATGACGACCCACTCATGCCACACCACGTGGCAACATAGTTCACCACTATATTTCACAAATATCTAATGACGATAACCTCTTCTACAGATAAATATGGATATCGATGCGGCAACAGCACCATTGCCAACYGTCCGTTCGGCTGTCYACGTTCCACGTCCTGGGGCTGTCCCAACACCAGCGCCGAGTACCATCACGGCAACAAGGTCGTCAATCGCTGCACGCAGTGCAACCCGAGCGACTCCGACGTCGCAACAGAACAAGCTATCTCGCTTCCGATGTCCCCTGTGTTGTCGTTCTCACAGGTTGTCACACTGCGGCATATTTAAAAGGATGTCACTTCARCAACGCCAGCAGGTTGCCCGGGCCCATGGCTATTGCCTGAGTTGCCAGTCGCCTACTCATACAACACAGGAGTGTACGTCCGGCTATGTGTGCCAAATGTGTATGCTCCGCACCACACTATGCTGCACCGCGTCACCAGTCCCGAGACCGGGCGACACTCTGCCCCACGCAACCACGGGGGCAAAAGACGTTCCAAACGGCAGAAATCGCGAGGGCCAACAACCCCTCAGGAAGACTCGCGTCCGCGACAACGTACTAGGCCACCAACCCGCCGTTCATCCTCAGCAACGTGGTAGCCACGCTGCAACAACTCCAGCGGTTACTACGCTAAATATTCACCTAGGGGGGCCAGGATGGCTAGATGAGTATCAGCCTTTCCGTTTTCCTTTTCTTGCGAATCTCTTGTTGAATTGAAATAATTATATTTTATACCTTTGTGAAAAAATAAAACAAACAAATTCCAAAATTGATAACCATTTGAGTTGAAGTACAAACGGAAGTGCGGAAAAGGTGATACATACAACAAAACAGTAATAAAATTTAACACAAAGAATAATATAATCCCGAGCGTTTCTACTCCCAAACAAGGCGAAAGTTGCAAATGAAGTGGTAAGTGCATAGGTGAAATATTCATGTATGTATATATGTATGCTTATATTCTCTTTAATATCCGTTTTAATAAAATATTTYTCAAATGGTTTTATGTATATGCAACCTTAGTTACTAGCATTCATTCATATATACATAAATATTAAAACCAAAAAATCTAAACAATACAACTCACCTTGATTTCCATCTGGGATTCTTGGATTATACCGATCAGAAGTGAGTGTGAGTATGTTGTTATTCCAACTTCTTTTATCTGCTTTTCTTATATTTTTGTATGTTTTGTATATGTATATATTAATTTTATTTCACTTGTGTATACTTTATTTTTAATTTGAATTATTTGTAAACTCACGACTCACAACACTAAACGTATTTTGTATTTTCACAATACTTGATTTTATGTTTTTTTTTTTTTAATTTTTCGGTCACTTTTCAACGTATTTTTTATTTTTTTCTATGTTACTTTCCGATAGTGCCTTTCTTTTAGGCTCGAAGGTCCATGTTTTATCTTATATACCAACTTTTCCGCACTCACCGTTTATTTTTACGAAAACTGATATTAAAAAATTCGTTTACACTTCAATTGAAGTTGCTGTGAACTTTCGAATTTATTCACTCACAAAATTTATAAAATATATTTGAATTTAATACAAAAGGTTCACAGGTAAAAAATAGCCAAAGGAATCGCATGGCGAAAAGTATAGGTGTTGGTGTGTGCTGCTCTTTTGATTGATGGATGTGTGATGTTATTGTGTGGGTGTTAGAACGTGGTGTAGAATGTAAGTAACAAATGATGATGTGATCAGTGTGGGGAATGTGGCGTACCAATGTTGTGTATTTTAATGTGTATGGGAAGTGGGAAGGCTGATACTCATTTAGCCACCATCTATTAGAACAATAATCTATTTAATTTTACTAGACCTTTTTTAACATATTATGAACTTCCCTACGTCTTCTGTACTCTTACATAGTTTATTACAAGTCGAAAGTTTTTAATGAAATAAAGACAAGTAATACCGTAACCGTATGTACAATTATTCAATTCATGTCTTTAAAAGTACTCAGGTATACATGACTTTGACAGTAACGGTGGTTGCACTAACTCTATGATACCAGAGACTTAAATTAGGAGTGCGAAATCTTARATATGTCTTCGAAACGAATTAGTTTACAAATTTGAATATATATTGACAAGTAGTTTTTTATTTGAAATTATGAAGTCGTGTTCCAATTGAGGTTAAAGAATAATATTAAAAAAAAAAAAGAAATGTTAAAATTAATTTACGTTTTTATTTATTTATTTGGGCTTAGAACTTATCACAGTTTTTATAAGATGTTTAAATTTGTCCAGGTTATATGTATCGGTGAATGAAATCGGATTATTACATCTTATATAAAACGATTTGTATTTATTAGTATAAAATCATGGTTTAATTTTATTGGTCGCTCGACATAATACGGCCCATTATTGGAATATTTTGTAGTTTCGTTTCAGACGTTCTAAATGAAGATACAATTCCTTTTTTAACATTCTGCCATTAGCGTGAATTTTGGAACAAACTGAAAAGAGCTTCTCTGGATGGTAATGTAAAATCTAATTGAATCTTTTTTCTTTGCCACATATTAGCTGGATTTTGTTCATCTTTAAATAACCAATATCTCGGTATAACTAAACACTGAACCCTAGTTTCGGCCATTATAATACGATATTTCATTGTCTCACCAAGTCCGAAAATACCACCTTTGCTTATCGTTCCGACATCGATGAAGTGATTCTCAATTTTTGTTTCCATCTGTACTAATACAAACATATAGAAAATGTTAATAATTATTTTATTTTATTTTTTATTTTATACCAATTTCTTTTCAGCCGTATGCTTTCCAGGGCTCTTTCCAATTGTGTAAAAATTAGATTCGCTCTTCGAAAAATAGTTATAAGAACATGATGAATTTTTGTTTCCATCTGTACTAATACAAACATATAGAAAATGTTAATAATTATTTTATTTTATTTTTTATTTTATACCAATTTCTTTTCAGCCGTATGCTTTCCAGGGCTCTTTCCAATTGTGTAAAAATTAGATTCGCTCTTCGAAAAATAGTTATAAGAATAGTTTGCCTCACCCGGCAAAAAGTGAAATTCACCATTTTCCTCACTTCTGCTATCTTCACTATGTTCATGACCTTCTGGTTTACGCGTTGAATAAGATATTAAAGAGGACAACGACCCGAGTTCTGAAGACAATTCAAAGTTTTCATCAGGATTGCCAAGGGCACACTGCTTTTCTAATGTTCTTATTTTCTTTAACAAAGAAAAAATTTCTTATTATTGATTTCCTTGGAATATAGAAAAAACGACACGTATGGTAAATGTTTTCATCTTCAAAAACGAGATTAGCCAAATTCGTTTACAATAATAAGCGTGTTTTGTTTGACTAATGCCTAAATTTTTGRCAATTAAGATTAAGAACTTAGCTTATTTCGTAAATAATGCAAAAACAATCGGCTGAATTTCAATTTATTTCAAAAAGTCTATAAATATACAAATATATAATTTTGGTGCGTTTACATTCTCATCTGTCAAATGTCAAGGTACATACATATGTTTAAAAGCACTTACAGTTTTCTCTAAGACCGGGTAACAATATATCTCAATGCTTTCTAATTAGACTATTATGACTTAAATTTTAAACCATACTACTGTGATCAAATTGAAAGGTAAATTGTGTCCATTTCATATCCTTTACTTCACTTATGCCATCGAATTTTCCAGTTATAGGACTTGGAAAAAAACCTCCGTCGTATATCTATAGTTAAAATACAGTTAAAAATGTGGCACAATGATCACGAATAACCAACGCAGTATGACATGGTGCATTATCGCACTTCTTTGTTCAATAAATTCAGACAGAGTAAAAACCGAATAATTAACTGTTAGAGCCTCTCAAATACAAATGAATATTTTGACGTGAAATTTAGCATACAGAAAAAAAATTACAGATTCTAAAAACGCGCAATTTAAGGTCAAATTCATTTATTCAAAACAAAAAAAGGTGGAAGGATTGTATAGTAATTTTTGTATGTAATGGTTCGGGTGAAGGTTTTAATGCTGGCAATATCACTTTGCCATTAGCACAACACATCCATGGCGTTCTATATTGAAAGTTAGCCGGAACACAATGTCGAAAAATTGCGTCCATAATTTAGAATAGCATCCTTCTGTTTGGTTCTTTTGTTAAATATGTACATAAGGTAACACTGATTATTTGTTTGAATGCAACACTTTTGTTATTGTGTGAACAAAAAGAATTGAACAAAAGTTAAATATTGAATAAAAGTTATTKTTGCACTTTTTAATATAACAAATGTGTAGCTAATTAGAGGAGTTTTAGTGGATATAAAAGTTAAAATATATATGTAAAATTCATTATAAATCGGAGAAACAGGAATTTTAAATAGTTGAATTTTGGAACTTTAAATGCAAATATCTCAAAAATCATAAGACAGCAGCAACATACATATTAGTTTTTTTTTCGTTTGTTTTCGTTTGGTACTCTGAAAAATAGGTTCCTAGACACCTATAAGAAGGCCTCTCCTAGAATGAGTTCTTAATTGTAACGGGAAGGTCCTCCTACATACAATTTTCTATTTTTTCTTATTTTCATATAGAACATCTTATATCTCGCTTCCAACTACTTGCAAAAATATCTTGTTCCTTAGATTTAGCAGCAAACTGAATGCTCTACAAAAAAAGGTCGGTACGATTTTTTAGTAAACCCAACCGTTTAAAATTAAAGTTTGATTATTTTTGGGAAAATTTTTTATTTCTTATGAATTTTATAACTCAATGAACAAAATTATTATGAATGATGAAGCTGCAGCAATATCATCAGAAGCAGCAAATATCAATTGTTTAGTAAGTATGTGAAAAAAGTGTGCATACATTGAAATTGGACTGCGCAGTCTAATATAATACACAAAAATAAATACATACATATGTATTATGTATGTATTTTATGCGTTTAAGGCGGCCTGCACAATCTAATATAATATGTGCAAACAAATGTTTGTTTTATATTTTAAATTATCAAATAATATTTATCTTTTCTTTCATATCTTATTATTATTTTTATACTCTCGCAACAAAGTTGCTAAAGAGAGTATTATAGTTTTGTTCACATAACGGTTGTTTGTAAGTCCTAAAACCAAAAGAGTTAGA